GAAAAGCGGCGAAGGGGAGCAGGAATGGCGGAAGACAGAGGAAGGAGCCAGCCAGCAACCGCCATTAAATTTTTGCTTAATAAAGTTGCAGCTGTGGCGCCACAGAGTCAACAAAAAAATGGGGTAGCATCAACACTTAATTGTTTCCACAGAGCCAGGGGCACCGCTCCAAAGGATCCCAGTCCCGATAGGGATCTCTCCTGCTCCTCGCTCCGGAAAATGGAAGATTGAAGAGATCCACGATTGAGGATTGATATCTTTCTGGGCGGGGAAGGTGCCGCAGATGTGCTCCTGCCCTGCCCCACTGGCTCCTGTCTGAATGGATGCCTCCTGATGATGTCTTTCTTAACGCTCAAATTGAGTTAATTAAAAGCAGGGGCAGGGGCAGGAGGCAGGAGGCAGGGGGGCGGCAGAGAGAGATACCTTCTTACACCTTCAGATACCCCCGCTTTGCTTTTGGGAAATGAATGGAATTAATGAGCATAATGGAATGGAATCTGAGAGAACTTAAACACCAAAAGAAGGAGGAGCGTAATGAGCAGAAGGGGCAGGGCATGGGGCAGGGGCAGGGGCAGGGGCAGGGACTGTAGATTTTGGCACAAGTTTTCAATTACCCGACATTTATTTTTGTTAAATTCTAATTAATGCAAAAACCCAGGGAGTGGGAGCTGCACTTTAGTTTTCGCGGGGTCTGGTGCGGGGGCGGGGCTCTTAAATCATTTAAATTTGTGCCGCACGCATAAATAAATATTGACTTGCGGCACGTCGCAGCAGAGGCAGAGGCAGAGGCACAGAGCGACGGCAAATATATATGCAAATTCTTTCCGACTTTTGTTTTCAATTAACTTTTTTCTTCCGCTTTTCCAGTCGCTGCCTGCTTCCGTCTTTGCTTTTCTTTCTTGCGTTTCCTTTTCTGCACGGATTTCCAAGTGGAAATGGATGGTTTTCCATGTGATTTTCCCTGCAAATTGAACAAATTTGTGTAGCATTTTGTGTCGTTGTGGCATGCCCCCGCACCCCTCCCCGCCTGCCCCTTGTGGTTGCGCCACAGTGCGGTGACACACCCGCTGACATTTTGAGTAGTTTTTAATGGGTTCCATCGAAGGACAAACTTGTCGACTTTCACAGGACGCTGCAGGCGGTCCATAAAGGTCCAACCGAAAGTGTCCTTTCCCAAGGCACACATCCACATGCCACACGTGCCAATGTGTGGCTGTACACCCGCAGAGACCCGCAGAGACCCGCAGAGAGCCGCAGAGACGCTCATGAAATATTCTGGCCTTAGCCGCAAAACTTGGCCTACGCCTGGAAGGCAGGCAGGGAGTCCTGCCTGACCTTTGAACCCTTGCCTGCTGACTGCTGCCCGCTGGAACATTCATTAAGCCAGTTATGGGCATTACCAGGGCATTACTGGGAGCCCTGGCAGTAAGTTTGCATTATGCCTGGAGGGGAAACCCTTTCAAGTCGTTGCCACTGGCGGTGGCGCAACAAAGGTAGCGGCGAAATGCAATTTTCCACACGACTGGCGTCCGTCTTTCCTCGGAGCGTCCTCCGCCTTGAGCTGCCCGAAGGAGAGCGATTTGCATACAAATCCCAGCACATATTGACTTGCAGAAAGCGGATTTCAGATTTTAGATTCCAGATTTCGGATCAGTGGGTGGGTGGGGGGATTATGTCGGGGCTTAATTCAATTAGAGCGGATTACGCATACGCCACGTGGCCCCTGCCTCGGCCCTGCCCCTAGGCAAAAGGTCAATGCTTCTTCTACGTGCTACGTGCGTCTCTAAATTCAAGTCTAAGGCGACTGTCAAGTCAACTACCTTTGGGGGGGTGGCAGCACCCCATAGAAGGAGGGGAAGGGGGACTGTTTGGATTGGATTGTTCAAGAGAATCCGCAAACAAATCCTTGATTTATGCGCACATCCTTTGGGCAGGAGCGCCAAAGCCAAACAGCCAAACAGCCAACATTTATTTCCTTATCCACTTGTGCCAATGTGATTTGCCCCTCCCCCCAGCAGCGCGGGGATCCTTAGCCATGCCGGACTCTGGTCAGACAATCAAGGCGGGGAGCACACACGAGCGGAGCGCTACAGTGGCCACTGGCCAGCGCGGACTGGGGCCAGGAGGGCGACCGAAGCGCAGGAGCTGCTTCGAGCACATCCCACCGTGCCCCCCCGGGGTTGATGATGATTTACTGTTACTGTTATGTTGCCTCGAGGATTTACCCGTGTACTCGAGCGTGTCTGACCATTGTGCGTGTGTGTGTGTTTGGGTGTGTGGGAGTGCATCCTGCGAGTCCTCCCCTGCATTCCGGGCTCATCCTTCGCCTGTGATACATAACCTTGAATGCGGTTTTGATGTTTGTCTTTCATTCGGAGTCGAGTCTCTTGCCCCTTCTTCCTGTTTGATTATTTGTACAAATGGCCGCCCGCCTGCATCCTTCCTGGGCATCCTTCCTTTTGTGGCAAGGTCCTGGGAATGCCATTGCCATTGCCATTGCCACTGCCACTGCCACTGCCATGGCCATTGCCATGCGAAAAGCGGATTGCATTCGTGTTCATAAATTGTGGATGCAGCAATGGCGGAGCAGGGACAGGGGCACGGGACAGGGGCGGTGGCAGCAGCAGCAGCAGCCCAGGAATGTTGCTTAAAAATTGCTGATAAATGATCTTTGCTGCCGCGCGTAGATATTTTAATATTTCCCGTCTCAGAGACTGCTGCATGCCGCACAGTGCAGCCAGGAAAAGTCCTTGGCTGAGGGCAAATCAAGTTCACTGCTGGAAGGAAGGTTCCTGAAGCTGCAGCTGCAGCTGCCGTCGGTCTGTGTCTAGGTCCTGCCTTCGCTCTGCTTCTGATTCTGATTCTGTCTGCTGCTCACTTTGCTAATTCCACATAAACACTGCCAAATGGCAATCGTCTGAGCACTGCAGTGGCGCGGGCGGGGGGCCACAGGACACGATACTTTTGTGTGGAATGCCTTTGAGGGACACATCTCTTCCTGAGGGACTCCTGCCATCCTGCCATCCTGCCATCCTGCACACATGTACCATATGTCTGTATGTCTGGCATCAATCTCGGGGAGCTGTCACCACGCGCAGGACTCGGACTCGGACTCCGCGGCCTCTTTAGATGTTGTCTTATTAATGACCCCGCATAATTGTCCCATTCCCTCAAGGATGCCCCTGACTCCTGCCACCGCCTCCTGGCGCAAGAGTTTTCCACTAAGCCACGCCTCGAACGGCGAGAGGAAAAACTAATTTTCTGCTTCTGATTTCGAATTAACTCAAGGAATGAATGAATGAATGAATCGGAGAGTGAGAAGAAAGTTTTGCGTGTACAGTGCGTTTCCCAGCTGTAAGCGAAGCTTGGCTTCAAGTTTGTAGGGCTCTTCCTGGCCCTACACTTATCAGCCGCACTGTATTCGTGTATCCATAACTGTGGTTGGCCTCTAATTCAATTAATTCCTTGAGATTTATACAAAAGTACCATATTTCCCCTCTCTTTGCGGGTCAGGGGGTGTCTCTGCCCGTGTGCACCTGCGACGCTCTGCAATTAGGCTAATCCCCCATTGCAGGACCCGGCAGCCTGGAGGGCATCCATGAATTTCAATTGCTTTTCCAAATTCCTATGAATTTTCATCACTTTTTTCTCTGTTTGGTTTATGTTTGCTGTCGCTGGCTGTGGCGGCCATAAAATGTGATTGAAACGATTTCCAGGCAAGACGCGGCTTTTGTCACACGGCCTGTATCTGTGCCTCTACCTAGGCTTCTCTCTGTGTGTGGGTTTATATTTATTTTATTTCTGTGTTTTTATACCAGGGGTACTCATTACAGGCTGGGTTACTGGGGTGTATTTGATTCGTGGAGAGCCCTTAACAGAAGGAAGTGTTTTCCTATAGGATAAGATTCCTATAGGAGTCTCAGATACATAGTTATTTCTTCAATGAAAATGCCTATAACATCTGTCATTAGATCTGTTTCGAAAGGTAGAATCCATCTGTTTCTGGACACTATCAGGTGTCGACCTGTGTCTCCTCCATAATCAACACCTCGATGGTTCAAGGTGGTTCAATGATTTGTTGTCGCTGCATTTGCCGGAAGAATGGCCAGGAAGATGGGACCAGTTCTCCATTCAAATTGTAGCTGTTAATTTCGTTAATCTCGGACATCTAACGATTGATATTCACGCGATTCCCTCATGCTCACACGCACATTTTCGTTATCTTTTTGGATTTATTCGTCTGTGTGGCAATTTTGAAGCTACGATAAAGTATTACATATCTAAAGGATTACAGATTGCTATTAATGCTAGAACCCTTTGGGCTTTTTCGTGCCTACTCGTTACGATATATTTTTGTAGGGTATTTTAGTGTCGAGGCACGTGTGCCGCGACACCCATACATTTATACTGGGGTTTTTATTTCTGGTGGGTTTTAATTAAAATCGAGTTTATGTGGCGTCCTCGTTGAGCCAAATTACTTGGCAACGTTTCCTCGTTGATGTCTTGCCCCAAGCCCCAAGCCTCATGCTCCATGCCCACCCACACACGCACACGCACACGGACATATTCAAAGGCTCAATCAAATGCCCAAATCCCTCCTTCCCTGTCGTCCCGTTGCTGCCTTCGCAAGTTGCTATTATTTAATTTTTATGCTCGAGCGCTTTTGGCGCCGTAATTTGAGACTTGACAATTTGCCAACCAGCCCCCCAGCAGGGGTGGGGAGAACTTCCTGGGGGGAGTAGATCTAAAATGCCCTCAAAATTGTTGATATTTCAGGTTGGATCTGGTTCAAGAGCCACATTTTAATGAGGGAGCGAGCGGTAGACCGCAGAAGATTCTGTTTGTGGTTTTTGTGGATGCGATTTTCGCTGTGGTTGTAATTTGATTTGTCTGCCAAGAGCGGAACCCCAAAGTAGATCTAGAACTTGCGCTTGACATTTGTTTATAACAATAATAATTCAATTGTTATTCATTCTCTCTCTCTCTTTCTCTCTTTGCAGTGCTGAGCAAGGGACAGGGGGAGACCTGTCGGTACCGCTTCCTGGGAAAATGCGGCGGCTACTGCTGGATCGTCAGCCAGGCCACAATCGTCTACGACAAGCAGAAGCCCCAGAGCGTCGTCTGCGTGAACTACGTCATAAGGTGAGTCGTCGTTCAAGTAATTCAAAAATACTCTGTACTAACCGTAGAATTTTCAATTGGGTATTGAGTCGAGTCCGAATTGAGCCACTAGGGGATTGGATTTTGGATGGGCGAAACAATGCCGGATATTTGCTCATTACATATTGGGGGAGGGGGGCACGTTTTTATCTTTTAATTAAGCCGCAAACGGAAGCCGCTGCTCCACTTTTTCATTATTAATCGACCGAATTTAATTTCCTCCTCCTCGAAATATTTCCAACTGTCGGCAAAGGGGGAGCCTGCTGCGGGCGGGGAGGGGCCTAGGCGTGTGCGTGTGCTGGAAATTTGCACAAAAGCGCGCTCGCTGGAGCGGAGAATCGCTCTCGTCTGCAGGCAGTCTGCGGAATTGATTTGCTTTTCTAATCCGTCAATTATTGTCTCTCTGTCTGTCGCATTGACAGCCGCAGCCGCAGCCGCAGATGTGGCCCACATTTTCCACTCCGTTCCCCACTCCGGGGGGAAGTTTCCATCAATTTCCATATCCATATTTCAAGCACAATTCCGCCTCGTGCACTTTCCTTTTAGCATTTTATTTCAATTTCAATATCGAATATCGAGTTTTTATTTGTTATTTGAATTCTGTTTTTATGGCCGTTGCGTGTGTCCACGTTCGGGTCAACATTGAATAGCAAATTAACAATGGCAACTCTGGCAGCTCTGTCAGAGCGGCAGCGGCTCTCTAATGACCTCAGCAGACACTCGAGAAGCACCTTTATCCGCCCCCTCCCATCCCTCGATTGCTGGATGTCGTGCCAGCAGCAGCGGCAGCACCGGCTCCCTAGAACAACATTCCTCCTTCGTTTTTATTCCTCTTTCAGGTCGACGGGTAAGTACCTCAAATAAATTTGTATTTACTTAATTTAAGCGTGTATAAGCAAATATTTGTGCATTGTTTCATTTGTTTCCTCTTTTCTGCCGCTTCACACTTGGAAGCCCAGAAGGGGAGGGGAACTGGAAGGGGCATATACGGGTATATTGTTCTTTTTTTGGGGGAATGAAAATTCGTTTTTAATTGTACCCCACACTGTCGTTAGAGCCTCGTGCCCCGGTTTTTGGATACATTGTTTATATGGTTTCATTAATTCGAATACATCATCATCACTTTCACTTTGGCAAATGTCTTTTCGGTAACGACACGCCCCCTGATTAGCAAGCAGTTCCCCCACTCCCCTCCTGCACACACATGCCGTCGTATGGATGCAGTCGAGCGGTGCAAATGAATGCTGACAGTTTGCTCTTAATTCAGATACAGCATGTTATTAGCTCTCCCCCTCTCCTTCTCTGGCTGACTATATTATTCTGTTAACTGCGTCAATCAGGCAATGATTCAATGATTCAATTGCCGATGGAACGACGACTCGGAAATCGATTGTGTAATTGTTGACTACGCACTGTTTGCAGGAGCTGAAGCAGAAGCAGAGGAAAAGAGAGAAAAAGAGCGCTGAGAGCGCGAAGCTTTGTGTGCGTTTGCTCTCCTCATTGCTACCGCCCAACAGTACTAGTGAGGAGAGGAGTGCCTGCGCTCTTATCTTGCTTTGATCTCTAGATGTGCGCTGCTTTGATTTAAGGTAATCTCAGGTTGAGAAGCTTTGTTTTTTTCGAGAGAGAGAGCTTGCGCTCGCATTGCATTTTACGGTAAGCTCTGCTCTTCCATGCGCTTGGGTAACTGTTAGTCGACTTGTAGTTTAGCTTTCGTTTTCTGCTCTGATGGCACCGCGAGGACAGCCTACGCTAGCATTCAGTTCGATCTTCTGCTGCCCACTCCTCTGCGTTTGGGTAACAATTAGTCGACTACTAGCTGTAAGCATTTCTCTTCTCTTTTTGCAATTTCGTGCGCATTTGAATGACAACAAATTTATTGGAACAAGCGCATGTTGCTTTTGCAATTGCAACATTTCACAAGCACAGGGCAAGAGAGGGAACGGGATAGCGGGAGTGTTGTGTTTGTCGAGTTGCCAACTAGAAATATTCTCTTTGAAATTTGTTTACTTTTATTTTGGCACTCGCTCTCGCTCTCACTCTCTCACTCTTTTCTGTCCCTACGGTGAAGTGATGTTGGACTTTGTCCGATTTACGGTTCGCTGATAACTGTTCTGCACGGACAGTCGCACCAGTTAAGATAATGGCGTGAATTCATCGAATGGAGAGGGATCGGGAGCGAGAGAGAGAGAGAGAACGGCGGCTGATCGCGTTGATCGTCCCTCAGTTTGGCAGCCGCCTCAAGGTCGCTTTTCTTGTGGGAGCCGTGCAGTCCGATGCGCCGGTCCAATGCGTAATTGTCGATGCATATTTATAGATTCCCGATTTCTTGGCCGTATCTGCGGTGTTGTTCCCACGATTTTGCATAGATAATTCCCCAACCGAACCGGGGTAAATCCAGGGCTATCCAATTAACATTTATTGGCGGATGTTTTCCAGGGAAAATTTGCATTTTTATGGCTCGTCTTGCATAATTTCATCCATGCCTGGGACGCGTTGCTTTTAATTACCAAAACGTACCCCCGCCCCCTGCACTGGATGTCCTTTGTGTGCTGGCGCTGTCCTTGATTTATCGTACTTGACAGGCTCTTTCTTCGGCAGTCCCTTCCACGCGCAACGCAAACTTTTTAGCCCTAATGGAATTTACACGAGTTCTTAACACTTTCCCCAAAAAGATTTCCCCAGCCCCCCCTCGAACCACCGAGCCGACATCGACAGCAGGCTTAGGACGCCATTTTGTGGCTGGGAGACTAAAAATTAAAACAATAAATTAAGCCTAAAACAAGGGAGGGATTCCAAAGGAGAGAGAGAGACAGAGAGAGAGAGGAGGGGGGGGGGGGGGGGGGGAGTCTTCTTTCAGGCAATAAAATGTCCTCCTTTATGATTGCCTGACGGACCTGCCATAAAATGAACTCGAAATCCCGAAATTAAAGCGTTGCCCCATCCTTCCATCCTTCCATTCGTCCATTCCGGATTCCCCTTTCCTGATTCCATTATGCATGCGACCTTTTCCCAAAGAATTCCATTTGCAGACCGCAGCATAAATATTTCATATGCACATGTTCTTTCTAATCGGGATTATTGATGGGGTTTTCACTCCCGATAGAACCATCCGCTGAACCCTTCCTTCGTTCATTGAAGGATCCCCCGTCGCCGCCCTCTCCCCGTCCGTTTGATGTTTGTTTCCGTTGCGTGGACATAATTTTGACTCTCTGATTTCTTCGGAGCGATAGCTTGGTCACCTGGTGGCCACCTAATTGAAAAAGTTGAGGTAGTTCCTCCTCCACTACCCCCCGGCGTCTGACCTTAATTGCCTCGAATCGATTTTCCACCCAATACACACCTGCACACGTCCTGCTTCGATGTCTCTTTAATGTGATGGCCGCCTTGGCACCCGCCCCGCACCAGGACAGGCGTTAAATTGTGTTCCGTGCCGTCTTGGGAGCCGAAGGACACACGGACCATGAGATTTATGGCCACACAATTACCAAAAGGCTGTTAGCAGGAGGTCGGATTGGTTCGGGTTGGGGGAACTATTCTGGAAAGGCCAACAAAATGCCAGTCCTTCCATCATCGATAAGCCTTAGTTATCTGGTCACGTACTCTCCTTCCGGATACTCCTTCCGCATCCGAAAGAATCCTTGCTGCTGGCTTAGACTCGTTATTAAAGCCGCCTTAATAATGCGGCTAAGCGATGAAGTTATTCACTCGATTCCTCCGATAAAGCAAACAACAGGCCGGCCTGGCCTGGCCTGGGCCCCAATTTATTATGCTAATGTCCGAGTGCTTCAAATCCAATTGCCGTTCCCGTTGCCGTTGCCGATGCTCTTTGGAGAGCGGAAATGTTTGCCAACTTCCGGCGGGGCACTCGGCCGCTCTGACGTCACGATAATTAACTGTGAATGGCGCAACACTTTAACCGGAATCCTTCGGGGGATGCGCAGAAGGCCCTTCCGAAGAAAGAACATTTTACACACGTGTAAGCGCGCCATTAAAACTTTTGGGGGGAAAGGAGAGCGAGAGAACCCTCCCTCCATCTCTCTCTCTCTTAGCCTCCTTCCGGCCTTTCATTGTTCAGGAATTTAATTTGCCACGAAAAAGGGAAAAGGGAAAAGGAGCAGGAGCAGACTGCTAGGGATGTTGCTCCTTGAGGCGATTGTGGCAGCCTTTTCGTGGGGGCGAGATTGTCATCGCAGCTGATTCTGTTTTGATGAAGTCGCTTTCGCCCAGCCCCAGCCCCAGCCCCAGCTCCGGCCCCGACTCTGAAACAACATTGCGAATACGCAACGTGTGCCGCGTGTCTTTCTTTGTGTAGCTATTATTTGTATAAATATTTTCATCTCTGCGTTCGCCTGCGACGCTGATGACAAATTCATAGTCACAGCCGAGGAGAGGAGAGCCGAGGGCTGGCTAAATCAACTTGTTTGCATATATATTATTTGTATACCTAGGAGAAGGGACCCTGCTGCTGCCCCTGCTGCTGCCCCTGCTGCTCCTCCTGCACATGTGTGTCGTTAAATGATGTCCTGTGTGCATGAGTGGAAATTGCATTTTGATTGGCTTGCTGCCGCTGCTGATAGGGCAGCATCATCCATGCCACATGACAAAGCTCCCTCCGAGGAGCCCTCTCTGGGGCCCGCTTCGGGTTCCCCTTCGCTCCGTTCCGCTCCGTCTCTGGTTTTTCTGGTTATTGCACATGAAAACCTTTTTATGTTGGACATAAAATTTGCGTGTTGGCTTTTTGGTGGCCAGCAGGACAAGCAGGAACGGAACGTAAACGTTGTAAAATGGATCTGCTTCGTTATCGAATCGGAGATGCATTGGCTCTACTCTACACTCTCCATTCTCCTGCTCCTTCACGAAGCACAGTTCATAATTTGATTGGAAGCCTCTTTAAATGCGCGGCTTTAAAAGTTGATGGAGTGCTCCCTGGCTGTGGGGTTGTGGGGGGTGCTGTGGGGATTACCATATTAACATATATC